GCCAAGGTGTTGCTGAAAAAGTAACACAGAACATGTGGCCACCGCTGGTTAACCCTTGAACTGGACCCGGGCAGTTGGAGGCTCCTCAACCCCTTTCCTGTCCTTGGACTCTATGATCTGCCTACCATTCCCACAGTGGGAGCTGTTTTCAAGGACAGAGCCTTGAGAGAGTAAGGTGGTGTTGAGACCATCTGTAAAGTATACGTGACTCAACCCATTTAAGACCTTTATATAAACGTTTAGGATTCTGGAGGGCAGGTGCAGAGAGCTGTTTGTCTTTCAGCTGCCCAGAACGAGCTTCATATGTCATCTCCCTTGTTTATGAAACCTGCCACCTACCAATCTGGAGTGGCCTGCCTCTTTTTCTGTCTCCCCCTGCCTTCCATGCACAGCGCTAGTTTGCAAACCAACAGGTATTGTTGAGAAGTCAAAGGTGCTTAGAGAAACTAAACTAGTCTAGAAAGTCAGGAAGAAATGGGACCTAAAAGAGGACTAGGAGTTAGCAAGATGATTGGGTCATGGGGTGGGATGGAGAAAAGAGATTTTCAAAAGTAGAAAAGGTTCAAGCAGAAGAATGATAATGGTAGATTCATAGAAATTAAAGGAGACCTTTAGCAAGTCATTCATTCATTCACCGAATACCGAGGAAGGGCCAAATAATGCCTGGCGCTGGTCCAAGCCCTGGAGATACACCTCAGTAAACAAAAGAGACAAAAATCTCTGCCCTAACAGAGCATACATTTTAGGAGGAAATAGCCTTAAAAATTAAACATATCATGTGTCAGATGTTAGGTTCTTTGTAGACAGGAAAAAGTGTGGAGGGTAAATATAAAATACTGTGGTAGGATGTAGCAGGAGGTGCAGTTTTAAAAAGGGAATCAGGCTTCATTAATACAATAACATTGTTACAAAGACCTGATCTCAAGGAGGGAGCAAACCATACAGATAGGCGAGTAAGAGCAAGTGTTAAAGGCCCAGTAGCAGGAGCATGCTTTCATGAAAGATTCTGAGGGAGGCCAGTGTGGCTGGAGCAGAGTACGTGATGGAAAAAGAACTGATGAAAAGCAGAGTCACGGGAAATGGGTAGGGAGCAAAAGCATGGGATGCCTAGTAGACAGTTAATAGGGCAATGGCTTGACTAGGGGAAATGGAAAGCCACTGGACGCTCGAAGCCCAGTGATAATGTGATCTCATATAAGTTCTGAGGAGATCACTGCCTGCTGGGTTGAGAATAGACTGTAGAAAGGCAAAGCCTTAATCAAGGGAGTGTGTGTGAGAGGGAAGTAGCTTCCTGTGATGTGGTTGGAGCTGTAGACAGAGTCAAACCACAGGGAAACTTATAATCCAATCCGTTTTAAACTAACACAAAGATGGTGGGAAGTTTTTTCAACAGGAAGATATAATGAACAGATTTCTGTGTTCAACACTGCATGATCCAATGTGGTAGCTAATAGGCACATGAGGTGAGTAGGCACTTGAAATGTGGCTAGTTCAAATTGAGATATGCAGTGAATGTAAAATACATATCAAATTAGTACAAAATAGTACAAAAAAACCCAAATGTAAAATATTTCAAGAGCTAGCTTTTATGTTGAAATGATAATATTTTGGATATATTGTGTTAAATAAAATATATTATTAAAATTTCACCTCTTTAGTTTTTTTAATGTGGCTCCTACAAAATTTAAAATGACATATATATATAATTATATATATTATATATATATTGATTTTTAGTACTATTGGACAGAGCAGGTTTAGAAGATCCTTCTGTTTACAGAATTAAAGTAGACAAGATTGGGTGCTGAGACCATTTAGCAGCCTGGTCTCTAGAAGAGTTTGACTATCACTAAGCTATTCTAAGTATTTTAAGAGCTGCTTTAAGCACTCTACAATTCTAAAAGAAGGTGACAGATTAGCTGAAAACACTTCAGATAAGAAATTATTTAAATTTTTGGTTTTTAGTTACCACAGAAAATAAAGGTAACGGTGTTTTGCTGCACGAAATGAAGTTATTGGCAGACTACTTTATATGCTAAACAGTGTTTATGACTGAGATTTGAATGACTGATAACAGAAAGGAAACAAGGTTTACAGCTCTTGTTTATGTGTCTTACAGGTTTTGTATCTGCACATATAATAAACTTTAGTATAGTCCTATAGTGTTCACATTTCTATTTAATTTATTTCAGAATGGTCTTATTTCAGAAGGCCCTTATAATAATACTTAAATTATATTTAAAATAATATTGGAATATGCAGAATGCAAGCTCCCCATTTAAATTTGCACATTCTCTATAAACTATGTGGTTTATTAGATTTATAAATATTGTAGTAGATGAGATAAAGATATGATTAAATTTCTAGTTGGGTTCAACACTTAAAATTACTTGCCAAAGTATCACACATGTATTCTATGGAATATATTCAGTTATTTTAAACTTCATAATTAAGTAGAAAATAATTACTGACAAAATATATATAAGCTAGATTTATTAAATATTTTATAATACATTGTCTTGTAACTACTGTATCATAAGATTAAATTTAGCGATTACATATTTTTTAAAGAATACTTTATTTGTGAAAATGTTGGGGTTGAGTATATATTATTTACATACTCTGAATTTTGACAGACTTAAAGAACTATTTTGATGATACAGTGTCTTTATTGATTAGTCACATAGTACTAATTAATTTATCAACAAGTTAAAGAGACTGTGATTGATATTTATGGATCACCACTAATAGCTTCATTGATAGTGAATAACCAGGTTTTTAAAAGTAATTTTACTGTACAGAATTGATCATAACTTCTCTTGAATTACTACGTCATTTATATAAAGCATTATTATAAAAGCAAACATAAACTATAAAAAATAATCCAGTAATTACATATGTGCACACGCGCACGTGTGTGTGTGTGTGTGTGTGCACGTGTGCATGCACGCACGCCCCCCTCTTATGGTTTATGCCTCCTAGAGGGTGAGTCAGTGGTGCATAGTATACTACTGGTATCAGTAGAATTGCAGTCATTTAGATCTGTAGGAACATGCATTGAAATATGTACCTAGGGAAAGACAAATGGTTATTTTATTGGGACTCATTTAGGTAGGAGTTAAATTTACCTTTAAAAAAGGCATTTTTTTCTTTCTTTCTGAATATATAAGCAGAAGCCTTATCAAGAGATTATTGTCCATTATTGTTAATTATTGTGTATTTTTAAATAGAGCATTTTGTGAAAATGTATTATATTAGATTAAAAGAAGTAGTTTGTTAAGACATTTTTTAACATAATATATGTTACTGGAAAATTATTCTTCCTTTATTTTGTATATCAGTGTTAATTTAGAAAGTGGTCAGCAGTGGTTTCTTTGAGACCAGAAACAGCTACCCCTCCACATTCAGGACATTGGATGCATACTTAGCATAGGATCCTTTTTTCTAGGTCTTCCATTTCTGTGAAAAAGTACCCTATAAATGACAATATGGTTAAGCAAAAAGAAAATGTGGTCTAATAAAACATTTCATCACATAACTTTTATTATTTACATTTCATTTTCATGATTTTTTGGTGAAAATTTGGTTATTTGCTTACAGTTTTCATGGTTCTTGCCATATGTGTATAGCATGTATATCTTATTTACTTAATATTTTGTCTACCCACTTTTGAAATTAATTCAAAAATTTTAAATGAATGTATTTAAATATAATAAACAAAAAAATTGCTTGCCATAAAAAATAAAAATAAAATGAGAAAAGTAAAGTAAACTATAGGTAGATTCTTGCTAAAGTCTCTGAACCTAAAGCCAGCTTTCATTTTGTTTAAAAAAAAATTTTTCACCAATAGGACAGGTGTTAAGAAATACCAGCCCTCACATGACCTCACTGATATGAGGAATTCTTAATCTCAGGAAACAAACTGAGTGTTACTGGAGTGGTTGGGGGTGGGAGGGATGGGATGGCTGGGTGATAGACATTGGGGAGGGTATGTGCTACGGTGAGCGCTGTGAATTGTGCAAGACTTTGAATCACAGATCTGTACTTCTGAAACAAATAACGCAACATATTTTAAGAAAAAAGGAAAAGAAGAAGATAACAGGAGAGGAAGAAAAGGGGAGTATGTCAGAGGGGGAGACGAACCATGAGAGATGATGGACTCTGAAAAACTGAGGGTTCTAGAGGGTAGGGGGGTGGGGGGATGGGTTAGCCTGGTGATGGGTATTGAGGAGGGCACGTTTTGCATGGTGCACTGGGTGTTATGAACAAACAATGAATCATGGAACACTGCATCAAAAACTAATGATGTAATATATGGTGATTAACATAACAATAAAAAAATTAAAAAAAAAAAAAAAAAAAGAAATACCAGCCCTGGGTACCTGGGTGGCTCAGTTGGTTAAGCGACTGGCTTCAGTTCAGGTCATGATCCTGGAGTCCCAGGATCGAGTCCCACATCGGGCTCCTTGTTCAGCAGGGAGTCTGCTTCTCCCTCTGACCCTCCCCCCTCTCATGCTCTCTATCTCATTCTCTCTCTCAAATAAATAAATAAAATCTTAAAAAAAAAAAAAAAAAGAAATGCCAACCCCACACTGGGACTTTCTCCTTTAGTACTCAGAAGGATTGAGGGAAAAATGGAATGCAAATACATTTTACACAATGTAATTCAATGTTATTTAATGCTATCTCCTAGAACTACACAAAATCATTCCCCTTACTGCCAGTGAGCGGCATCCCCACACTCTGGTAATCAATTATTTTGTGTATGTGTATCAGGTACACTTTCCAAAATAGCAACCTGATCCTAAATATGATGTCACCATTATGTTACTGATTTTGAATAACTAATTTCATTATTAATATTAACATATATTGACTTTTCTGTATATGTGTAACACTGAACTCTTGAGATCAAAATGTGTGTCAATTAAAACATGTATGTGTACAAATAAAATAAGGCAAGCAATAATAACAATAAAAATATTTTCCTCTTTTTACAGCTTGCAGACCAGGATTCTATAAAGCATTTGCTGGGAACACAAAATGTTCTAAATGCCCTCCCCACAGTTTCACCTATATGGAAGCAACTTCTGTCTGTCAGTGTGAAAAGGGTTACTTCCGAGCTGAAAAAGACCCACCTTCCATGGCATGTACCAGTAAGTCTATACAATTTTGCATTTGGAAATCCTGTTTTCAACCCTTTGGTTTCTTTATTCTAAATTGTTTTAAAAACTAGACATACAAAATTCTGTGGCAACAGTGTATTTGTCTTTGTTAACAAGTGAAGAAAAAAGTTTCTCTTTCTCTCAGCATAGTTACTTTTCACCTGCTTGCAAAGGAAGTGCCTATTCCTCAAAATTCACATTGATCCAGGACATACAAATCCCAGCACTGGTGTGAGGCCCTGGAAATTTTTCCAAACCATAATCTGTCCTTAGGAAGTTAAAGCAGTTTAAGGCTACCTAAGAATTTATAAACAAAACTTGTTCTTTGCTTCACCCTTGTCCATTTTAAGGCACATCAATTTAGGAACATCAAGTTCAGTGTGTGGGGGAGTTTCCAGATGGAACTTAAAAAGTTATTATGCTATTATTGTTTTGCAGTAAAGTTCTAGTTTTCCTTGACATTTGTCTTTAAAGGAAAGTGTTTTGAGTTTTTCCACATTTCACCTTTCACTTTCCAATCTTTGGGTTGGAACCAATAGAATATTAAATTTAAATGTGAAGGTCATTTTAATGCATGCATTGAGAATTTTAAATTATTTGTACTCTTTTATTATAAAGTATTATGAAATATCTGTACATTTAAAAAGTAAAAGTGAATCTATTAATGCATTGCTAAGCTATGCAAAAGTAAAATGTCATCTCTTAGGTAGCTATAAAAGTCTTGTTAAATATGTAAATAAGATATTACAGTGAAAATTTGCCCTTCTGTTTGATGAATTAGTGCCGAACTATTGCTTATCTTATGTAATTCCATAAAGGCAAAAATAGATTGAGAATTATGTAATATTATATATTCCTTAGAGACAATGGTGGTGTCCCATTTCTTTTAACTTATGCAGTCTGTAGAATTATCTGCATTACTAGAGACTTTAATATAAAATATTTTTATAGAATACATTTAATAAAAAAGTAACACATTCATTAGTAGATGTAAGTTTTGTTTTCTGATTGTAAATGCTGAGTGACCATTTTCTTCAGAAAGTTGCAGCCTGGAAAATTACTACCTGACATTTTTTTTCATTGGGAACATATTTTAAGTTAATAAATAGAAAAAGGAAATTCTGAAATATAATTTCTCACCTAATTATGTAAAGAGTTTTTAACAGGAAGACCTTGCTGTTACTATATATATGTAATCCTTCTTGCATGGTTACTGTATATTATTATATTATATTGTGAACAGCATACTACAGCTTAGGTAAATGGTGGTATTTCAAATGGCTAGGAAAGTATTTCTCAAAACCTGTATCAGAAACTGAGTGGAACTTCCTAGGTAAGTGATCGAGGAGAATTTTTATTTTTATTTTCTTAGGAGGCCTTAAATAGACAATTGACAAATTGAAGGAATAAATTGGTTCTCATCAATCTAACCCTTCAGTAAGGTAGCAGGATAGGCTTGCAGTTCTTTGGAATGAGAGTCTGGTTAAGGAAATAAATTTTGGATACAACAAGGTTCACAAACCTGGTAAACTAGTCAGGCATTGAATCAGATATATGTACTTATCATCTTAATGTTTTATGTTTCTTGGATTTTTCTTTCCTCTAGAAAATTTCCTTTTTTATACTTGGTATTATAAATTATGTTTTTATGTTTTTTATCTTTTATGTTTTAATTTTGTTTTAATCAATAGATATCATTTACCAGGGAACTCTGATTGTCTGTCTGGTCTTTCACCATCTTTATTAATCTCTTGTTATGGCTGTTTTCTTTTTATTTTATTTTATTTTACTTTATTTTATTTTAATTCCAGTGTAGTTAACATACAGTGTTATATTAGTTGCAGGTGCACAATATGGTGATTCAACAATTCCACACATCACCCCATGCTCATCACGACCACGCTAGCCTGCAGCTATACTAAATATAGAAGCAGAGAAAGATTTGATTCTGGTCATTGTTGGACAGAGTTTTAGACAGAGAACAGGATTTTGTGTTGCCATCAAATATTGAAAGATAAAACCATCCTAAAAAAGGTGAAAACTTTAGTGAGATCTCCCTAGTCCAGCCTCAGGAGGCTCCCCTCTCAAGTCTTTTCTGTGCTACTCTCTTAAGAACTTCTGTCATGTTTTAACAAAACTTAGCGTAGTATATTGTAAGTTAACCATCTTTTAGAGGCAAATTATCGAGTATGAATCTTGGTGTTGGTGCTTAATATCTATGTAACTTTGGGCAAATTGTTTAACCTCTCTTAGCCTCAGTTAACCCATGCATAGTGATAATAACAGTATACTTCATTCTGTAGCTACAATGATTAAATAATTTAATATTTGAAAGGTGCTAAGAACAACACCTAGCACATAGTAGGTGCTACATATATGTTTGTTTAACACAGAAAGTTATTCTCTTATAATCCATTTTGAAATAGTTTTTGATCAGCTAGTATTCAAACTGTTATACACTTTATGGTTGATACTACTATACTGGGTTCATGGTTCCCATCATCTGCATTCTTACAAACTGAAAAAAAAATAATATACTGAATTTTTTGCCTTTTCACAAAATATTTTAAGTCCTGCATTTCTGTTGCTTTTTGATCAGCTAGTATTCAAACTGTTATACACTTTATGGTTGATACTACTATACTGGGCTCATGATTCCCATCATCTGCATTCTTACAAACTGAAAAAAATAATATACTGAATTTTTTACCTTTTCACAAAACATTTTAAGTCCTGCATTTCTGTTGCCTATCTGAGATCAGTCAGGTTTTCTGAATTATACTCTAAGGTGAGAGACCTTCATGGTTATTACAACATATGCAGAAAAAGTAAGGATCCTAAACTCCAAAGTATCATTGCTCCTAAAAATTGGAAAATGAGATGGTTGGGGAAGAAAAATCAGAAAAGTGACAAGTCAGGAGGTCACTGAACAATAAGACTTAAGAAGACCAGGGTAAGTTCACTGAGATATAGAACTTCTGAGGCCAAGAATCAAACAAGCAGTCAGCCTTTTCTGTCTTTCATTAACCACAAATAAGAGCCAAATTTTAATAGATGCATGCTCTCTTAACTTCTAGATCATATCTATGAATTAGACATTCTTTATCACCCCTTGTTCCTATAGTGCATTATCTGAAGGTCAGAATCTGGGTCAGTTAGCAGGCAGTGCAATCACTTCCTGGTGTTTTTGTCAGTCTTAGCATTTGAAACTGCTTTCAGAGAATCTTCCAGGGATTTAAAAGGAGGCAGATTTTCTCCTTAGTATCAGGGGCAGAGAGATTTTGAATGTATGAGTTTAAAAGAAAGTGAAGGACTAAAATATTGGAAATGGAAAACCAGGACTTTGGCTAGTCAATGGCCTAGTATGGAATGATTTTATATATAAGGATAGCATGTGATCATATAATTGATATGATTTTAAGGACTCCAAGAAGTCTTCCCCTACTCCTTAGTGCCATCATCAAAACAATAACAACAACCCTTAAAAATGTAATTTCACCATTAAGAGCTTTATGATTTCTTTGGGTTTTCACTGTAGAAATAGGTGTCTTTTTATTTCATAATCTTGAGATACATCATATATAAGATTTATTCACATAAAAATGTTTATTAAGATTTTATTCTTTTAGTGCAGTTTGAGATTCACAAACAAAATTAAGAGAAAATATAGAAAAGTTCCATATATACCTCCCCGCTCCCAAATATGCACAGCCCCCACTTGGAGTGGTACATTTGTACAACTGATGAACCTACATTTGCATATCACAATCACCTAAAGTCCACAGTTTACATTAGGGTTCACTCGTGGTGTGCACATTGTACATTCTGTGGGTTTGTATAGGGCATGTATCCAACATTACAGTATCATACAGAGTATTTTCACTGCCCTAGAGCTCCTCTGTGCCCCACTAACCTCTGGCAACCACTCATCTTTTTACTGTCTCCATACTTTTGCCTTTTCTAGAATGTCATATAGTTGGAATCCTACAGTATGCAGACTTTCAGAATGGCTTCTTTCACTTAGTAATATGCATTTAAGATCCCTCCATGCTTTTTCATGGCTGGATAGCTCATTTCTTTTTAGTACTGAATAATACTCCGTTGTCTGGTTGTACCACAGTTTACTTAGCTACTTACCTACTGAAAGACAACTTGATTGCTTCCTAGTTTTGACAGTTAGGAATAAGCTGCTATAAACATGCATGTGCAGGTTTTTGGATGGACATAAGTCTTCAGTTCTTTTAGGGTAAGTACCAAGGAGCATGACTACTAGATAATATGGTAAAAGTATGTTTAATTTTGTTAAGAAACTACTGAACTACCATTTTGCATTCCCACCAATAAAGAATGAGAGTTCCTGTTGCTCCACATCCTCGCCATCACTTGGTGTTGCCAGTATTCTGGACTTTGGCCCTTTCTGATAGGTGTGTAGTAGAATTTTATTGTTGTTTTAATTTGTATTTCCCTAATGACATGTGATATGGAGCTTCTTTTCATATGTTTTTTGCTATCTGTCTATCTTCTTTGGAAAGGTGTCCACATAAACATTTTTAGGCTTTTCAAACGGCTACAATTAAAAAAAGAAGATGCCTCATATTCAAAGTTAATCCCTCTAATAGTGGTGGGCAAGAGATTGACCTATCTTCAGTCTTCTACTGGGCCTGGTTTTTGTTAGTTTACTTTTCTGACATTTTGTTCCCACTAACTTCTTCCTCACAACCTATAACTATACTCAAACTTCTATCATTAAAAGAATACTCCAAGACCAATATTTTTTCTCTTCCAAAAAAAAAAAATCTTGGGAGAGCAGTCTTTATTGGCTACAGTTCCTTCTTTATTTTTTTATTATTATTATTATTATTATTATTATTATTATTTACTTTTTACTCTACTGTATTCAGATTTTTACTCTTCACGCTAGGAGAGTCATCAGATTTTCCCCCCTACTACTTCAAGTAAACTACGTCAGGAATAATTCACCAACGATCTTT